TGTCAAGAGCCTCTCTCTCTCTCTCGCTCGAGCGTAGCTGCTTCATTTTGGCATACCGGAGCTCCCTTCGTCTGCCCTGGTTAAGGCAGCTGCGCGCCCTCTCGCCAAAGCAGGCAATTGGTTGATTCAGACACGGAATGACATGCGCATGGGCTGAGGGATTGTGGGACCGTCGTCTGTCTGATCTCCGAAGCCGATGCTGTGAACATAATTAGTCGCTCTAAAAAGTTCGCAGCAATTGCCGACATTGCAGCCAATCAGTTGGATACAGTGTGCCGTTGTCAGGCTTTTCAAAGGACAAGGAGGCCAAGGAGGGCAACGAGGCAGCTGCCGATGCGAAGGAGCCAGATACCAAAGGGGGGAATCCTGGGGTTCTGAATTTCACATAATTTCACCGTATTTGGCAAGCTCCGAAAGACTAAATTGTATTGTGGAACGTGCCCCCGATCTCCTCATTTGCCCCGGTTGCAGCAGCGCGAGCGCACGCCCCGAAATGATGGAGGTTTGTGGGGCATTTGATGATGCAATGACTGACTAATTAACCAAGCTATGTATCCAGCGTGTAATGTCTATTCTAAAGAAGGGGGTTGCTCTTAATGAAAGGACGGGGAAGCTGCTGAAGAGCCCAAGGCCGGTCTGAGAGAGAAGGAGAGAGAGAGACAGAGTTTGTAGGGCCTCCCATGACCCGTAAAGAAAGAGTTTGTGTAGTTGTGTATATGTTGGTATGTGTACCTGTCACACAGATACACACATATGCATGTTGTGTGTTTCTGCTTCCAGGAGCCTGTGAAACCCACTTCCAACAGACCGTTTTACCAAACCCTCTCATGACAGCTCGTTGAAGAAGAGGCTTCAACCGTCTCTCCAATGCCACATAAATAATTAGCACAAACGTGTCGGTGCAAATGTTTAGGACATAAATGCGGTGCTATGCAATCTGCAACCGTACTTAGGTAATTAGGTAGGTTGGTACTCGTAGGTGTGTATATCTACATTCAACACACACCTATTATGCGTGAGAACTGCAGATGGTGGTGTCGAACGTATGTTGTATCATGTTATGTTACATTATGGTTTCTTTCTTCTACGTTATTACTTCGCATCATCTCAAGCGTGTGCATGGAAAGGCGTCGGCCGAGGGCTCGAGCCCAGCAGCTGAGGGGGAGGCTAAAGCCGAGCCCAAGGAAGAGCCCAAGGCCGAAGGTTCCGCTGAGCCGAAACCCGAGGCTGCCTAGACGCCAAGTGCCACACTTAGAGCTGCACAAGTCAGCCCTGAAGCTGGGTCAAACTGAAGCTGTGGTAGATTGCTGTGTTGTACAGTGTTAGCAAAATTCAGGAGCACTTCTCTGCATGTGGGAGGGTGCACGCACTGCCCAGTGCGAAGCTGTTCCGTTACTCCACATAGTGCAAATGATGTTTCACTACTGACGCTGCATTTCTCACCTCAAGCAGTAGCGGCGCATGGCCTACCAATGCAGTTGTCAATCGCTTCAGCGCCAGGGCTGCAAAACAAGCTGGCATGTTTGCAACGCCACACTTTCTTATAGGCTCATGGTATCTCTGCCACACAGTCTGAAGCATTCATGAGCTAAACTGGATTTTTTATTTAATTGCATTCTGAATAGCAGCTCGAGCTTTGCAAGTCCTCCCAGTCTGCAAAACGCAGGCTTGGTCCTGGTCAATCCGGCCACATCCTTTGATCGAACGATTTGGCCGCTGCTAGGCGCGAGCCGCACGGTTGTCTGGCAGTTCTGTTAGAGTATCCAGGGATGGAGCTTCAGGGCCGTAGTCATGGGAATGACCCGTAGTGCTTATGATTGGAATGCCTAAGCCAATGTTCTTGTGCCTGCGCAAGTCCAGAAGCAAAAAAGGATTGGTTATTTCAGGGTCATATGCAGTTTTAAGAGAGGGTTTGGGAGTTTGTGCGTCAAGCTTTTGAAAAGTATGGATGAGGAGTGCTCCTAAAGGATCAGAGAAGTTGGAGGTGGATTTAAACATCTTCCGCAACTGTGAGAAAATCCCAAATACGAAAGGTCACCGTTTTCCTTTCGAGTCACAGATGTGTCAATCTCGGGGGTTGGGATGAATGGTTTTTGGTTGCAGTGAGTCTCGAGGCCGCGCGCTTACCGCTGTGCCAAACGACAGGGCCTCAGCGCACGCAGCACTTTCGGACAGTTTATCAAAGCTCTTTGCGCACACACATTCCACGTGAAAGGCTCCGGAGGACCTGCCGGATTGGAGCCCACACCAGGACATGCAAGATTTGTTCCAGGACCTGCTGCTTGGGAGCTTCGCCAACTTGCTCGTATCCAGCATGGACTGCAAAAATCAGAAATCAGGACATCCAGAACCGTGCGATACTGTCGCCGTATCCGTACCTAGCTGGTTCTGCCTTGATCTCAGAGAAGCCACGAATCCATCAGACAACTGTGTGACCTCCAGTCTAAATTCCTTAAAGGGGGTTATACAGGAGATTCTATTCGGGCAATTAAGGGGGATACTATGAGTTTATAATATAGCTCATGTGGTCATCTTCAGGTCGCATGCCGAGGGCCTGGTGTTTCAAGTAGAGTGAAGGGACCCCATGGCTTTAGAATCTGTTCCGGGGTGGATTCTTTGGGCAATGAGCCATCCTTTCAGAAGACAAGAATTACTACATATTATTACTGTTACTAAACTACTATTTTACTGCTATTTTTGTTATAACAAAAATTTTCAGCTTCTTGCCATATGCCCAGCTCCGAAGCAGAAAGACCCTGGATGCATGCGGCTCTCACTGGAATATAGGGATTATTGCAGAGGTATATTATATAGGGTTTATGTAGGGGATCCACTCCCCCACTCCCTTAAGCACCAACAAGATGAGGCTCTCACTGGTACTGTGGCAGATTCGACGCAGCGCGGCCCTCAAAAATGTATTGTAGAAGCTTGCCAATTGGGAAGAAGACACGCCTACGTCATAGTTATCCCCATATCGGATTATGTAGACCCCGTATGATCTCTTCATACAACCCCTACACTGTAATCCCAAAAGAAACCCCCCATATCATCCCTGTACACTTCATTTCTGGAGAGCATCAGGCTCGGCAGGCTATTTTCCAAGATTGCCACTGGCTCAGCAAACGGCGTTGTGGGTTACAAATGGTCGACACAGGACAACTGCTTCAGAACAGTTTCGTGATTCCAGCTCCTAATTGATTACTGATGTCTATTCTTTTTATATCTGCAGACTGCATGAATGCAATATATTCTGGGCCGCATCGATCACCGCATGCGCATTGAAAAGACGTCCAAGATGCATGTTATCTCGAGCCGGCCTTGTTGCCCGAGGCGCTGAATGTGCTGAGCCCCAAAAAGGACGAGGGTGGGACCAATCTAGACCCCAGCGTGGAAAACTTCCTGCTGCCCGGGCCTCAGACCCTTTAGTTATAAGCGCAGTGGTGAGTGGAGTACTCCTAAGAGAATGTCTGAATCAGATGCGTGAGCGCATGTCCTCTGAAGAGGTCCGAAGTTGAAGGCCAAGGTTTTAGCTCAGGTATCCAGAGAATTTGGCGCAGCTGCTGCCACCAGAGACTGTGCGCTTCCGACTTCGGCATTGGCTGCGTGATGGCTGCGAAGCAGTGCCTAGTCATCCAGATGGCAGTTTGTTGGGGCTTCGTTTCCGACCGTTACGAGTTATGGTCTCAAATTTGTACCACTGCACCAAGCATACCCAGTGTATCCCAGTGTGCTACAGTCCGCCAACTGAGGTAAACAGCGAGCTTCGCAGGCGACGTGGCATCTCCTTCGGAGGACGGAGACAAGCGCAAAGGTTCAGGCTTTAAGGCTTTAGGACCTTAGGATGCTTGAACTTGCAGCTGAGAAGTTGTACATAGTCTTACGGATTTCTGCCATGTTTTGGTGTTTGTTTGGTGCTGAAGCTGGTTGGTTGTTTGGTTGGTGGGGCGCGCTCCATCATAGCGGCCTTCCCTCCTTGTAAGAGGAGATGCTAGCTTCATGGTAGAAACATTAATATGAGAGGTTCCAGAAACAAAGAAGGATGGCACCGGCATGATGTGTTTTTACGGATCAGACGCCAAAAATCAAGAAGGTATTTTCCATGGTCTAGTCACCCTGGGCAACGGCTTGCCAAAACAAGAATTCCCTCGCGCAAACAACTCCGCAGGTGAGAGCCTGCATATTTAGCAGCAAGGCGTTGCTACTGTAGTCTTGCTCGCAATGACAGCTCGCTTCCGCGTCCAACTTGGAAGAGCCGTTCGACGCTACACACGCTTTGCAGCCCAGCAAGTATAGCTGCAGGAGCTAAGCTTCCGCAGCGCACTTGGCGGTTTGGCGTTTTGAGAGTCCATGGCTTTATACATCGCTGGACCCTAGATTAGCTAGAGGCTGGGAACACTTCATGCCTTGCATCCTGGGTTGCTGTCAGGTCCATGTAGTCATCTTATCTGCCAGGCAATCTTATACAGACATGAGGCTCGAGGCTTTGGTTGACAGTCTGCCTGGGCCAGCGAAGCCATACTGCTCATGAGAGCCGTTGCGCAGATCAAAGAAACATGCTAAAAGGCCATCTTCCCTGATTATGATATAGCAGTTTCCATTTTATTTTCCATTATCCCAACATATTATAGTATATTATAGCTGCATAATGGCCACCACTCAAAGCAACGTCTCGGTTCAGTTAAGAGGCTCGCTTGTTCGAAGCCGATAGAAGCAACCTGGTTGCCAACCAAAGACAATAGCTGCACCGACCATTATTTGCAGACGGTGCAAGTCTCCAACAGCGAACTATGTTTGCAGCCAGCAGAGCTTTACTGTGTTGGCCACCATAGAGTCCGATTGAATACTTCCCGCACATGAACACAAGTTCCAGGGCCTCCCATGCCCACCAAGTGACCGTTCCGGAAATTGTTGATTCTTACACATTATCCGTGTTGTCCCACATTATCCGTGTTGTCCAGCCAGCCCATTTGCAGCAATGATGGCGTAAGATTTCGGTGGCCATGGAGGAGTACCTTCGAGAGGCTCCGGGTTGGCCTTGACCCCTGGGCCCCTGCGTTGGGAAAATTTGGGGAGATGTTGGAGTACCTCAGACCCCGGACTCGGGGCCAAACCCAAATATTCAGATAGTAGCTGAATGTTCAGAATGCGCTGTGGGATCTGATAAACCGGTCAGCGTTTTGAGAAATCCTTGTACATAGCGTTGTCTAAGGTTTGTTTCGTGGCATGCGGCATGCATCATGTGGGAAGGCTCCAGCGGCCATGTTGCTGTTATTGGCTCCGGCCCAAGAAAGCACAAGAGTATCAGGGTGCTATGCCTTTACTGCTGACACATTAATGTTGACTTCACCTTAAGAACTGCCCCTACATTTATAAAATCCCGGGCCTGGAACACAATTACAATAACCCCCACAATTACAATATCCCCCAAACGCGTACTTTTTGTCGGGACAAGGATTTCAATTAGATTTCAATTAACTCTAATAGGCTTTC